GTTGCTTTCCAAAAACCATCCAGGAAAGGCTCTATTAATAATAGTTGAGGCATTCGAAGAAGAAACCTGAGTTTCAATATGACAACCGAAAATAGGGTTATGAACCTTAAACCATTTCCTAAAACTGCGCCGCTTTACAGAATTGTTAAAACCTCTAATATTCCAACAAAAAATATTCATAAAACAGGAAAAGGTTAGAGGTTTAGAGGGCCTCCAGCCTTATACCGAGATTTCTGTTACTTCAAAAGATGCTTGGAGATCACCCGGATGAATCTATCATTGCCATCTTCCGGGTTGTCCTCATCATCAGAAATCTCCTCTGAATCCGAGACAAAATCTTCCTCTGCAAAGCTAGAATGAGAAGAGAAACGCCTGCGTGTACTCAGGTCAACACATAAACTTCCTTTAGATAAATCCACTGAGTAAGCCTCTCAGAAATCCTGAGATTTATCGATGGCTAGAGGAGGCATACTAGAAGAAGCTTCGAGTGAGTCTCTTGTTGGGGCAGCTGCATGCGGCAGAAGAGGGCCTGAGGAGGCTGCAGAAGGAGACTCCTTTTTAGAACCATCCTTAGGATCGTCAGCAGAAAGAGGAACATTATTGGATCTGATCTTTGGATCGATTGCTTTGTAGACTTGGACAGGTTTGGGGACAATTGGCATAAGGCTTTTGATTGGAGCTTTACCTTTCGCCTTGTCCTTTTTTGCTAGGGCAGTTCGCTGAGATGTGCTTGACAGAGTTACATATTGAGCACAAAACAGGAGCAGCCGAGCATTTTGATAAGGTGTGCCCGACCTTCTTGCAGAAGCTACAAAACTAGGGGAGCCAGGGACTTGATACTTTGATTCCGCGTGTCTCACCAGATTCGAATTGGGAGTTCACATACTCAGGGAGAGGCTTCTTTGGGTCGATGACTGTGTAGATTTTAGCCACTTCAATGTTTGTCAGGTTTGCAGTTGCTAACTGGAGGCAAATGCGATGACCAACCATTCTCGCAATTTCCTGAAACCCTTCTGGATTGAAGAATTGCATAGGGACACCATAAAGATCGAGCCAGACAGACACCCTAGACAGCTCCAGCTTTTCATGTTGAATACCCGGAGACCACTTGGCGACGAACATGGTCTGATAATCCACTTGCCACAAGCTTTGGCTCAGGATGTGACGGCGAGTATTCAGGCAGGGCACTCTGAATAAAAATGCATTACTCTCCATCTTAGAAACAAATATATCACGTCGATGGCGGCTCCATACGCCGTTTAGAATGGCGTGAACAGCTCCACGGACTGGCGGTTCTTCGTAAAATTGACCAACAATAAAACATTCCCAGGCTTTCTTGTTCTTTTCGATGACAAAATTAGGGATCTTAACACAAAGTTCATCTAACTAGGGGATGTTGGAGCAACTGGCGATTTACCAGAACACAGAGAGAGAAGAGGGGACGAGCTGCCAGATCCAGTGGGGATTTGACTAGGGGATGTTTTTTTGGGGGGGTTTCTTCTTAGCCATGAGGGCGGGAGGGAGTCATCGCCGAGATCGGCGAAGGTGAAGGGTGAAAGAAAGGGTTCGCAGTTTCACAGAAAGAAACTGTGCCAATGTTTTTTGTTGTTTTTTTTCATCGGTATACTGAGTTAAACCAAACAAAACCTAGTTTGAGACAGACTCTTTTGTAGGAAGCACAACTTATCTCCAACATAAGGTTAATATTTTTAATGTAAATGAATAATCCTCTTTATTAAAATAGAAGCATGTTTTATGTTCAAATAGATTTTTTAAAAAGTTTTTTATTATTTTGTTTTTGAACAATTCTTATTTATGTTACCAAACAAATCAATTTAATATAATATTAATAAATATTTTTTATTTATATTTTAAAATAAATTCGAAAATTTAAATTAAAATTTATATTTGTTATAAATTTCCTTAAATATAGGTTATATTATTTATCAAAAACTATAAATTATTTTTATATATTTTATAAAAATAATAAATCGGATATTTATTTAAATTTAATTTAAATAATCAAATTTAAATAATAATTTCAATAACAAAATGAAAATGATATATTATTGTATATTTTTATTGAATAAGTTTAAAAGTATAAATATTTAAATCTAAAAATATATAAAATATACAAATAATATGAATGGACGGATTAGAATTATGTTTTAATAATCACAGTCATTTTTTGATTAATATAAATAACCATATTATATTGACGTTTTTATAATTATTGTACTTTTCAGATTAATATGAACAGATGAGTTAGAATAATAGTTTTTCAACCCTGATAATATACTAAAAAAAATTAATAGAAATAAATTATATATAAATATAAATATTTTTTTATCAATTATTAGAAAATTATAATAAAATACAAAAATACAAATTATATTATAAAATTTGATAAACTAAAAATAATTCCGGTGCGAATGCACGATGTAAAATCTCGTAAATATTAAAATAAAACAAAGTGACAATAGGTTAGTAATTTTCCCAGAAGAATTGCTTTATAGTATAAATTAAAGATCAAATCTATCCAAATATGAATCCCTTCGGGGACATCCGATAAAAAAATCTATCCAAATATGAAAATATATAGTACTCCCATTATTACAAATGATTGTATGCTTTAGATCCATTAAAAAAATCTGGTAAGTGAATTATTTGACGACCATTACCTTAAAAAAAAAGTTTAGTAATAAAAGATCGGACCAGAAAACATTTAGAGTAAAATAACACTCAAAACAAAGAAAAATGAACGACGACAAAAAAAAAAAAAGAATGACCTGAGAGTGAAAACAAAACAAAAACGAAAAAAATTAGTAAACCGGGAGAAGAAAGGCCCATGGTTTGCTTACAGAAGAACCGCGTTAAATGCCCACAAGTCGAAGAACCCTAATAACCCATTTCTTGCACGATCACTGGTCCACTCTTTCTCTCTGAGAAAATCGTCGAAGAAGAAGCGTTTCAGCTTTCTGAATTTCCTCTACCTAAACTAAGTTACATCATCCATGGCTGAACGAGGTGGAGAACGCGGCGGCGACCGTGGCCGTTTCGAACGTAGATTCGGTGGCCGTGGCGGCGGAAGAGGCGGTCCTATAGGTCGTGGTCGCCATGGAGGCTGTCCCGAGGAAAAACCGAATGGACACCAGTCACCAAGCTTGGTTGTCTAGTGAAAGAAGGTAAAATCCAGAAGCTAGAACACATCTACCTTCACTCTCTCTCTGTGAAGGAATACCAAATCATAGATCTCCTAGTCGGATCTTCGTTGAAAGACCAGAGCTTGTCAGACGACGAAATTCAAGGCCTTCGTCGTCGTCAGAGATGGTAACGGACATGTTGGATTGGGAGTGAAATGTTCCTAGGTGGTTTCGACCGCAATTAGAGGAGGAATCATTCTTGCGAAGCTTTCTGTGATTCCGGTGAGAAGAGATTATTGGGGAAATAAGATTGGAACGTGTGGATCTGTGACTGTGAGGATGGTTCCAGCTCCAAGAGCTGCTGGTATTGTCGCTGCTAGGATTCCTAAGAAGGATCTACCAAAACGCTCGGAAACTTTTTCAAGGTCTGTTTCAGTTCTTCCTTATACCGTAGATTCACTTTGTTGAATGATGATTCATTTGTGAATTTGTGAATTTCAGTGATGTAGTTGAAGAATTCTATAATTTAGCTTGAAATAGGAATTAAGTGTACATTTGATTAGTTTTTTTTTTCTGGGAGGATGATGTCATAAAGACTTCACATTTATACAGTTGTGATTCTTGATCAACCTTAATCTGTAGCTGTAAATGTCATTTGCAACTTGTAGATAGTGTTGGAACAGATTTCTTTTGTTTATCTACAACCCAATTGCTTAGTTTGATGGATGATTGATTGATCTTGGGGTTTGATGTTGTATGTGTTATGATACAACTCAGTTTCTTGATTATGTATATGATTATCTACAAACTAATTTTCATTATTATGTTTAATAATCTACAACTCAGTTTCTTGATTATGTTATCAGTTATGATCGATTGATAATTGGTTTGATGTTGTTTATTTTTCGATACAGGCTACTTTTGATTGCCTTTATCTGGAAAGAAACTAGGTTTTCGATATCGCCATACTTATACACCGATATCTTGGATAAGGAGCAACTCCCTGCAGCCAAAGCTATCACCGAGGTTGAAGACCAAGCTTAAAGATTGTACCTTCCTTCATGGGATTAGTTTGGTTTTGGTTGTTGCAAATTTTTTGATTCCTTCTTCGGAGTAGAGTCTATCAGAATTTGACATTGGAGGTTTTATTTATAAGGATAATAGTTTTTAGTTATGTTTTTGGATTCTTGTTAGGTGTTATGTTTTCATGCAAATTCAATGAAATTCAATTACTATTTCCTACTTGTTTCTGTTATACATTCGACTGAAATAAGGGACCTAATTCAAAGATAATATGTGAGTTGTATTCACGATAAACATAATTATAATCGTTGCAGTAGAATATAACATTAAGGACTTTTTAATAATCTTCTGATCACAATCTCTTTTGACAACATCATATATGAGTTATATCAGTTTTAGTTCTTATATATTCGTTAAAAGATAGGAGCTAGAAAGTAGATCAGTGTTAGCATAAAATGGAACACCAATATGATTTTATCAAGTGGTGAGACTCAACCATAACCATACTGTAATGAGTACAAGGCTTATAATTTGTAGATTTGGTTATACCTGCTAATTATAAGTTCCTGAGTGAGATCTTGTATAAAGCAAGACTTGATTAGTATAACTGATCTTGAAATAGAGAAGAAGGAAAAATAGAAGAATTGAAAGTACAATACTGAAATGAACAAACAGAAAGTTACCTGAAGAAACAAAAGTGAAAAAGAAGAAGGTTTGAACGATCTGATGCAACAGGAAATTAGGAATGACCGAAAGGTGAATGAAAAGTGTTTGAGATTTAATGATCATCATTACTCATTAATCAAACAAGCAAACATAAATCCAATGTTGAATAATAATATAAAAAAAAACCACAATAATAATCAGTGCACGATCCAACACAACAGTAATTAAGAATGAGTGAAGAGAGTGATAAAAGGTTGAGATCGAATGATCAGTCAAACCAGCAAACATAAATAATAGAAATTGTAAGTCTGATTATGTAAACTGAGAAAACAACAAATGCAAAAGGCAGATGACCAGTTTGATAAGAGTGATTCGCCTGGGAAGAGATTCGTCTACAAAACATACGAATGAAACAGAATTTCAGCAGAATTGTAATCCACTCTAAGAATTTTAGATTCAATTGTGAAAACAAACAGAGAATTCATTTCCCCTTTTCTGAGGATGATTTTGTGTACCTGGTACGTCTGTCTGTACTGTAATTCTGAAAGCCTCATTCTCAATCATTCGTTTCCGAATGTAACAGAAGGGATGTGTTGGATTTTGTAATAATCTTCTCCTCCTTCCGACAGTCTCTCCTTCCATTCCTCTCCCATATATTCAATCTTCAGATTCTTCAAGGAAGTGATGAATCGTAACCCATCAGGAAGCTCTTTAAACTTCTTACAGTCTTTAATCACCAAACTATAAAGAACGGGCATGGAGCCTTCTTCTACTATCCACTCTTCCCACTCTTCTAATCCAGCAAACTTAAGCTTCTGCAATTGAGGAAACCCACCGGCCGAGCAAACCATTATCCTCCCACTGAAAGATTTATTATCTAATATAACCTCTTTCAATTGGGGTAACTTCTCTAAAATCTGCATCGGATCCTTCAAACTACATCCTTTAATCTTCAAAGTATGAAGAAGGGGCATGGAGCCTTCTTCTACTATCCACTCTTCCCACTCTTCTAATCCATCGAACCGAAGCTTCTGCAATTGAGGAAACCCACCGGCCGAGCAAACCATTCTCCTCCCACTGAAAGATTCATTATCTAATTTAACCTCTTTCAATTGGGGTAACTTCTCTAAAATCGGCATCGGATCCTCTTTCAAACTACATCCTTCAATCATCAAAGTATGAAGAAGGGGCATGGAGCCTTCTTCTACTATCCACTCTTCTAACTTCGTACAGCTAATAATCGTCAAAGAATGAAGAAGGGGCATGGAGCCTTCTTCTACTATCCACTCTTCCCACTCTTCTAATCCACCAAACTCAAGCTTCTGCAATTGAGGAAACCCACCAGCTGAGCAAACCATTCTCCTCCCACTGAAACTATTCGTCCATAAACAAACCTCTTTCAATTGGGGTAACTTTTCTAGAATCGGCATTGGATCCTCTTCCAAACAACAATCCTGAAGAGATATGGTTGTAAGGTGAGAAGGCAAGGGTTTAGGTACGCTTGGCATATATATCTCTAAAGACAGATGTTTGAGACGAACGGCCTCAATAACAAATCCCTTTTCTTTCTTCCTCTTGTCAATCGACGCACTATCATATATATCAAGATCTTCCAGGTGTCTCAGTCCACCTATTGATGCCGACAGAGCTTCTATACTTGTCCTCTCATTTAAATCGATTTCGAGAGTCCTCAACCTGTACATACCACTTAGATCCTCTACACTGCTATTCTCCGTTGAGAAATGCTTCAAGGTCTCCAATTTCTCTAGATTCCTCAATTCCAACTTTGACTTCTTTTTCATATTTCTTGGTAATTCAAGGTATCTCAATTCCCGCATCTCTTTTAAGACATTGGGCACATATACTGGAGATGCCCAGCTCTCTACACATAGATTCAAATAGAGCATCAGCTTCAGATTTTGTAGAGAAGATGGTAGATGAGTGATATATGCATTTTTTAAATTCAGATATCTTAAATGGATGAGCTTTCCAATGCTATAAGGTAACTTCTTTCCTTCAAATCTGGCTGCAGTGAGATTTAATACCCTCAGCAGTTGTAACTTCGTAAAGCTTAAACTTGATGGCTTCCATTCGCTGCTATAGTTATCCTTGCAGACAACAACGAGAGATCGAACCTTTGAATTATTTATCTCTCTCTCAACATCTAATGTAGTCGGATGCTGTGACACAAATCTGCGAGATGTACTACAAGAGCGTGGGGTCTGGGAGCAGATACCGACTATTTGTAGGAAGTTCTCTTCTTTCGCTTTAGACAAACAAATTTCTCTCATCATGTCATGCAAATGACAAGTTTCAAATCTCAGAGTTTTCACGTCTCTTTGGGAAATAACCATATTTCTCCTCACCAACTCCTCTATATACATTTCTCCAACATCTCGAATGGTCTCTCTATCGTGATACCTGCGTATTTCTTCTGCAGCCCAGTAATAGGAGAGTTCATGCACACGTATTTCATAATCTTCTGGAAAATGGGCCAAGTAGAGGAAGCAATGCTTTAAATGACTAGGCAGCTCTTCAAAGCTCAGTGACAATACATGGTAAATTAAACTGTTGTTGTCACCATTGAACTCAGTTCTTCCCATGAGATGAGATTGAATATTCTCAGATACTAGTTCCCAATCGTACAGTGTGTGTTTTGTAGCCAATAAGCCTCCTAATACTCTGACAAAGGCAATCCCCCACAATGTTTGATCATTTGCTTACCCATCTCTTCCATTTCCTCATCAACCTTCTTCAAATCTGCACAACATCATAGAAGAAAACAAAAAAACTTCATTTGGACAACAAAAGTAACAGTTCAATAGGTTGTGATAATGATATACTACAATCAGTTATTTAGGGCTAAGAAGATTGTCTTGATATCATTCAAAAACATATTTCATTTTGATCAAAATGAAGAAAAAAAAAATCGCTGCTTTTGAATGCTTACTGGATGCATCTTTGCTTGGCATTGCTATTTTTTGGAAAAGTGTCCAACTGTCTTCAATAGTTAGGCATCCCGGTTTGAAGTTGATATATGTTGTATCTCCATGCCCTGCGACATTCTCATTTCGAGAAGTAAGTAACACCTTCCAACCTGCAAAATATTTACTCATTTCATAATAATCATACAAAAAGAGCATAATGAGTATTACTTGTTTTCATCTTTCTTTTTGTTAAGTAAAAATCACCTTTTTTGGGTGGAAATATTCGCTTGATTACGCTCCAGTCTTCTTCTTTCCAAATGTCATCAAAGACAATTAAAGATTTAGATGTTTCCAGCAGTCCAAAGAGTTCACGATGGAGTGCAAATTCTGTCATCTCCAGTATTTTCTTTTCTTCTTCTTCGGGTTTGAGATTCTGCAAGATTGTTTGCCAAACATTCTTCAGCTTACAATCTTGTGAAACACACACCCATGCTAGTCTATCAAACTTATGTTTAACCATCTCATGATTAAAAGCTTGTCTAGCAAGGGTGGTTTTTCCGAGACCACCCATCCCAGTCATGGAAACCACTTGAACATTATCATCCTCCACCAAATATCCAAGCAACTTATCAACATTTTCTTCCACCCCCACAAAATTGCTTTCGTGTTCCCTATCAATTTCTTGTCGCATCTCTCTTTGTCTATCATGTAGAGGTTGCATATACCCGCCATCAGCAATACTTTGCTGTATTCCAAAACTTTGCATATCACTAATCATCTTGGAGATCGTCTTACTTATGCCTTCAATATCTAATGCAATTTCCCGACGATCTGGAAAAACACAAGCAAGTCTTCTGATACGCTTCTTGATGCCACTTGTTTTTCCAAATTTTTCTTTAAGAAGAAAGGTATCAACTATATCTTCTGCATCATAAATAATTTCCTTGATCTGTTCCAAAAATGTTCTCACCACCGCACTAGTATGTTTCTTGACATTCGCATCTTTCAGAAAAGAGCTTAACAAGTCAAGTTCACGTTTGAGTTCAGTAACTTCTTCATCAACTCCATGAAAGTGCGCATATTCTTGGCTCAGTACGTCACAAAGCTTTTGTACTCCAAACGACAAAAGTTTCCCAGCCATAATGGTTTCTGCTAAATTTGTTTTAAAATAAGAATCAAGCTACTTAATGACGAAAAAATCAATGTAGGTCTTTCATATTTAAATCTATTATATTAAAACAAAACCATTTTTAGTACTTGCTTCCAAATATTCTTAAAACTTTTTATTAAAATTATTTAAAAACAATTTTAAAATTATTCTAATTTATTGCAATATTATCTAAAAACACATTTTCTTTTATATATAAATTTAATTTCGAAAATTAGAGATTAATTTAGATACCTAAAGATTTCCATAAATATAAATTCTATTTAATTTAAAATACAAACTGTTTATTTTTGTAATTAAATATAATTTTAGAAAATATATATATTAATTTAAATTACTTTAGACTTCCTTAAATATAGATTCCATTTAATTTAACATTTAAGTTCAACTAATATTTTCAGAATAACATATATGATTAATGAATATTTTATTCTATTTAATCATATTTTAAAATCAAACTAAAATTTTACATATTGAAAAACTGATAAATATTAATATTATATAATAATTTGATAAAATAGGTTATGTTTTTTTATAATTGTGGTCTTACGTGAGCTAAAATTGTGGTTAGAACTTATAAAATATTAAAATAAAAATTATTTCAAAATTAGTAAATATTATATTATATATGGTGAGTTAGAATTATGGTTTCATAACCACAGTTATTTTCTGCTTAATAGAATAAGCGAATTGAAAACTGATAAATATTATAATTTGATATGACAGGTTAGGGTTGATAAAAAAAGATAGGATATATTAGGTTTTTTTTTATAATTGTGGTCATATGTGGGTTAAGTTATCAGAACATATAAAATATTAAAATAAAAATTATTTTAAAATTAGTAAATATTATATTATATAATAGAATTATAGTTTATTTTAAACCATTATCTTGCCCTCTCATATTTAAATCATAATTTTATTTTATTTAAAAAAGTGAACAATCACATCCTCCATATAGTAAAAAATGAGACCATATAAACCATGTTATTTAATTAAGTCTCATAATGAGACCATAAAAAATGAATTTAGTTAGGTTATTTAATTGAGTGTCATAATGAGAACCATATATATATACCAAATTAGATTTTCGAACTGTATTAGATATTATGTTGTCGAAAAAAATAGACAATCTAAGAGTAAAAATTATGATTTAATTGAATGAAAAGTGTTTGAGATTTTTTTTTTTTTTTCCGACTAAAGATCCTTTATTAGAAATCAAAAAACCATATCATTGTTTACATAAGGTTGCAGGAATAAAGGACAAGAATGGTACAGAGACCATGGTAAATCCGAAGAAACAGCTTTCTTAGCTAATATATCCGCACAAAAGTTAGCTTCTCGATGCCTGAACTGAAACACAACGTCGGTGAACATGCCCTTCCATTCTGGATTGTATCAATGTAATGTTGAACTCGCCAATTCTGCCCTTTACCATGGAGAATATTATTCAGAATCAAATTATCTCCTTCAAATTCTACTTGTCGATAACCTAGTCCCCATGTAGCTTGCATCGCCCAAATTAATGATCATCATTACTCATTAATCAAACAAGCAAACATAAATCCAATGTTGAATAATAATATAAAAAAAAACCACAATAATAATCAGTGCACGATCCGACACAACAGTCATTAAGAATGAGTGAAGAGAGTGATAAAAGGTTGAGATCGAATGATCAGTCAAACCAGCAAACATAAATAATAGAAATTGTTTAGTCTGATTATATAAACTGAGAAAACAACAATTGCAAAAGGCAGATGACTAGTTTGATAAGAGTGATTCGCCTGGGAAGAGATTCGTCTACAAAACATACGAATGAAAAAAGTAAACTCAATCAATTTCAGCAGAATTGTAATCCACTCTAAGAATTTTAGATTCAATTGTGAAAACAAACAGAGAATTCATTTCCCCTTTTCTGAGGATGATTTTGTGTACCTGGTACGTAGTCTGTACTGTAATTCTGAAAGCCTCATTCTCAATCATTCGTCTCCGAATGTAACAGAAGGGATGTGTTGGACTTTGTAATAATCTTCTCCTCCTTCCAACAGTCTCTTCTTCCATCTGGCTCCCATTCCATAACTAGTCAGATTCTTTAAGGAAGTGATGAATCGTAACCCATCAGGAACCTCTTTTAACTTCTTACAAATAAATATCTGCAAAGTATGAAGAAGGGGCATGGAGCCTTCTTCTACTATCCACTCTTCCCACTCTTCTAATCCAGCAAACACAAGCTTCTGCAATTGAGGAAACCCACCGGCCGAGCAAACCATTCTCCTCCCACTGAAAGCATTCACACTTAATTCAACCTCTTTCAATTGGGGTAACTTTTCTAGAATCGGCATCGGATCCTCTTCCAAACAACAATCCCTAATCTTTAAAGAATGAAGAAGGGGCATGGAGCCTTCTTCTACTATCCACTCTTTTAACTTCTTACAGTGAGCAATCTCCAAAGTATGAAGAAGGGGCATGGAGCCTTCTTCTACTATCCACTCTTCCCACTCTTCTAATCCATCAAACACAAGCTTCTGCAATTGAGGAAACCCACCGGCCGAGCAAACCATTCTCCTCCCACTGAAAGCATTCACACTTAATACAACCTCTTTCAATTGGGGTAACTTTTCTAGAATCAGCATTGGATCCTCTTCCAAACAACAATCCTTAAGAGATATGGTTGTAAGGTGAGAAGGCAAGGGTTTAGGTAAGCTTGGCATATATATCTTCAAAGACAGCTGTTTGAGACGAACGGCCTCCAAAACAAATCCCTTTTCTATCTTCCTCTTGTCAAATCTCCTATAATATTTTATAACAAGATCTTCCAGGTGTCTCAGTCCACCTATTGATGACGACAGAGCTTCTATACTTTGCCTCTCAGTTAATTCCATTCTGAGAGTCCTCAACCTGGACATACCACGTAGATCCTCTACACTGCTATTCTCTGTTGAGAAATTCTTCAAGGTCTCCAATTTCTCTAGATTTCTCAATTCCAACTTTGTCTTCTTATGCATACCCCATGGTAATTCAAGGTATCTCAACTCCCGCATCTCTTTTAAGACATTGGGCACATAAACTGAGTCTGGAGACCAGCTTAAACATAGATTCAAATAGAGCAGCAGCTTCAGATTTTGTAGAGAAGATGGTAGATGAGATACATTTGAACGTCGTAAGTTCAGATATCTTAAATGGATGAGCTTTCCAATGCTATAAGGTAACTTCCCTCCTTCAAATATGGCTGCAGTGAGATTTAATACCCTCAGCACTTGTAACCTCGTAAAGCTTAAACTTGATGGCTTCCATTCGCTATATTTATCCTTGCAGACAACAACGAGAGATCGAACCTTTGAATTATTTATCTCTCTCTCAACATCTAATGTAGTCGGATGCTGTGACACAAATCTGCGAGATGTACTACAAGAGCGTGGGGTCTGGGAGCAGATACCGACTATTTGTAGGAAGTTCTCTTCTTTTGCTTTAGACAAACAAATTTCTCTCATCATGTCATGCAAATGACAAGTTTCAAATCTCAGAGTTTTCACGTCTTTTTGGGATATAACCATATTTCTCCTCACCAACTCCTCTATATACACTTCTCCAACATCTCGAATGGTCTCTCTATCGTGATACCTGCGTATTCCTTCTGCAGCCCAATAATAGGAGAGTTCATGCACACTTATTTCATAATCTTCTGGAAAATGAGCCAAGTAGAGGAAGCAATGCTTTAAATGACTAGGCAGCTCTTCAAAGCTCAGTGACAATACATGGTAAATTAAACTGTTGTTGTCACCATTGAACTCAGTTCTTCCCATGAGATGAGATTGAATATTCTATTATTTTTGTCATCATTGAGATCAGTTCTTGTCATCATTGAGATCAGTTCTTCCCAAGAGATGAGATCCAATATTCTCGTAGACTTGTATCCAATCGTGTAGTGTGTATTTTGCAGCCAACAAGCCTCCTAACACTATAATAGCCAAAGGCAATCCCCCACAATGATCTATCATTTGCTTACCCATCTTTTGCATTTCCTCATCAACCATAAATTCTGCAAAACATCACCACTATGTTATAATTGGACGGGATAGAGAAATATTATAGCCAGTTCATCTATTCTACTCAATATCATCAATATTAAATTCTGCACGATGTCACAAGGTTTCAATTATTCTACATTTAGGCTATAAAACTTTAATGTTGTGTGGCTAATCAGAATAAAGATATATTTGGCTACTTATGCTAAGAAGATTGTATTTTGATGATCGCTAGAAATCATCCTTGAATGCTTACTGGATGCATCATTTCTAGAAAATGCAATCATTTGAAAAAGTTTCCAACTGTCTTCAGTGGTTAGGCATTCTGGTTTAAAGTTGATAGTATTTCTACACGTGGTGACAATCTCGTTTCGAGAAGTAAGTAGTATCTTCCAACCTGCAAAAAAATAAGAGCTAGTTAGCTTATTGTGTATGATTTGTTTTGATCTTTCTTTATTGAACACTATCTAATTCATGTATCAGAAGAGGTCACCTTTTCTCGGTGGAAATATTGGCTTCAGTAGGTCCCAGTGTTCTTCTTTCCATATGTTGATATGTGAATATCGACAAGGGACAAAACAGTAATTTAGATCGGAAGCTCGGTTTTATTAGATTGAATCAAGTGAAATACAACTGAGTTCGGTTATTTCAATAGGCAATAACGAACTAAGACATAATGCGACTAAGAAGCTGTCGTAACGAGTTCTCAGTCTTTAAGTCTTCTTGGGAATAACTTGTGTTTTTTGATGTCGATTCGTCTCCCTTTATATATATCTCATAAGTCGGTCTTCAAGCACGCCTTAGACGATATGGGACCGAGAGGAGTTTCCTTTTCTCTCGGTTCCTTTCCTTTTCTCTCCGAAGTTTCCTTTTTCCTTCAGGAAACTTTCCTGTTTCGGCCGAGCTCAAGGAAACCTTCTATTCCTTTGAGAGGTTTCCCACCGACCTCGGTCTAATGGGCTATCTTCGGCCCATCTTCGCTCGGTCCATCTTCTCTCGGTACATCCCTTCGTAAACCGGGCTTACGGTTCGCCGATCTCAGTTTGTACCGGAGAAAACCGGGGTGCGGTTTTCACCTCCAACAGTTAGCCCCCCCCTCAGTTCAGTGAAAGGAGGTGACTTTCAGTTGAACTCAATTCTTCGGTTATTGGATCACAAACTGAGCTCGGTAACTGTCGTTGTTTCGCATTTCTGGACGTTTCGCGCCTATCTTCAATGAGGCGCGTGAATTACGGGATTTTTCGCGAAAATCGAGGAACCCACGATTCCCACTGTGTATAAAGGGTAACTCTTCTTCTCGCATTCATTATTCTCGCCTCAAGCATATATAAGGTACGCCGCTCTCCCTTCTCTCTAGATTTTATTTCTCTCTCTAGTTTTTGTTCTTCGTTTTCTCTCGTTTCTTCAACTCCCGCCGCCGCGAACTCTTGATTTTTCCGATCAACCTTCAAACTTTCCGGTTGATCTTCAAACTGTTCTTTATTTCCTTCAAATCTTCTTTCCGAAACCCTAAAATGTCTTCCAGCTCTTCGATTAATTCTTCCTCGAATAAAATTCTTCCGGAAGACCACCGTGAGTCCTCGGAGCCGAGCTCCTCTTCTTCAAACCCTCAGCAGTCAAGTTCATCACGGGAAGAAAGCAATCTTCCCCAATTAGTTCGTAAGAACTCTAGATCTGCAGAAGCTAGCAGTAGCCATGCTAGAGTTAGAATTGAAGCTACCGAAGATCTGACTGCAGAGGCTCGCAAAACGGAAGCTCGGGCTGGACCGAACGTTGATGCTAACACCCCCGAGATCAAGGAGATCGAGGAAGAATTTCAGGGGGAGAACGTTGTTGATACTGAAGTCGACAACATTGAGGCGGTTATTCATGCTTCGCCACCACTTCCGAGGCGGAAAGTAGTTCGTCCCAACAACGTGCCCTCTTGTTCCCTTTCTCCTGGTGCCGTTCGAGCCGTGCTCGAGGCAAACGGGCTTGCGGACAAGATTATTTTCATCATTCCGGAGGCTAGAGATCGGCCGTGGGATGCTCCCGAAGGCTTCCTTTGCGTCTATCTGACGTACTTCACTCAGTGCGGGCTTTCTTTCCCCATTCCCTCTCGCCTACTGGGATACTGCAATCGGCGCGGCGTAGCTCTCACACAGGTGATGCCAGCCTCAATAACGAACTACGTTGGGTTCGTTTCCTTATGCGACGAGCTTGGCGAAGTACCATCGAGTCGAATTTTCGAAGACCTCTTCTCGGTCAATATCCATAAGTCCAAGGAGTGGTTCTTCGCCGCCAATGCCAAGCCGAAGAAGAATTTAGTTATGGGACCTAAGCCCAGTAAATTCAACGATTGGGAGTCCCAGTACTTCTATATAGAAATGAACGATCTCACCGTCAGCAATTCTGACATCGCAATTCAGTCGAATTGGAAGATTCCGATTGGTAGATTAGATGATTTCACACTTAGATAACTTTTGACTTTTACTGCTTGCTAACTCGACTTCGTCTTATTTTCGTAGGTCGTCATCTTCCGAGTCTCCTTCTCAACTCCGGACTCACCTCTGAGTTCGAAGAAGCATTCAGCGAAGCCGGTAAACGTCGTTGGCCGGAGGTTTGGGAAGAAATCCTACAACACCGAGCTAAGAAAGCGGGTATGTTCATCGAATTCTATCTTTACTCACTTTATCCCGAATTTACTCCGAAATCCTCCTTAAACTTATTTTCATTTCAGGCTCCGTTCGAGAACCAAAACCACGCAAGCCGAGAACTCGAGCTAGCAAGCCTCGAACCGCTCCCAAACGCCAATCACTGAAGTCGCGAACTCAACGCTCCCGAGCTGCCAGGATGCTTTCCATTGACGAAATCCCAACTCTCTTTGATGAAGAGGAAACGGAGGTGGCCGAGCCGACCCCAGTCCTTGCTGCTGAACAGAACGAAGTGCAGCCAGAAGAGTTGCCACCTACTGCGGGCTCACCTGATCAGGTTGATCAGAGGAAGACGAAGAAGAAGAAGTCTTCGAAGAAGAGTAAGAAAGCAGAGGACTCTTCTCGGGTGCAAGATACTCCCGCCGAGCTCGATCCACCGGCAGTTGTGGCGTCGGGCCTCGCGCTCTCGCAAGATCGAGCTGAAGCTTCACACTCCCAAAAAAGGCAAACCAGAGATCATGTCGAGGGCTCTCAAGAGCACGGGCCGGCTAAGAGAGTCCGAGTTTGTTTTGACTACGACGAGGAGACTCCTTTTGAGGAGAACGTAGATGCCTGCGCCGAGCTCTATCATAAGATCTCCTCGGAGGTACCTAGCCTTCCCTCGGTCCCCGAGCTCCGGTTTCCCAACATGTACAAGGGAATCGCTCACTCGACCGCTGTGGTAATTTTACTTACCCCTTATAGACTTAGATATCCTTCCAAGTATGAGTTCTAATTCCTGTTTCCTCTGTGCAGCTCGCCAGTCAGACCAATAACTTGGTCGCTGCATATGAAGTAGCCCTGTTCGACGAGCAAGTAAGGGTCTCCGAGCTCGAAGAAAGGATAGCCAAAGCAGAGGAGCGTCTCGCCACTGAGCTCCAAATCAACGAAACTCTGCACTCTCAAGTTGACTTGCTGAAAAAGGAGAGTGCAGAGCTGAAGGCGGTGAAAGACGAGCTCACCGAGGCCCAGAATTTACTCTCCAAAGAGTTCGAGAAGGACAAAGGGCGACTACAAGGTATGGTGGTGCACTGGAAGAATCGAGCTAGGAGCGTTCACGCAACGGCTTGCGAACGCCTTGAGAAGGTCATTCGGAGTTTGGATGATGCTGACAGGGCTCGGAAGCCGTACTTGGTCTACAACCAGCTCACCGGGGTCCTCGGTTTCATCAAGCAGTTGCGGAGGAAGGGTCTGTACGAGGTCCCGCCAGAAATGGTTGCGGATATTGAAGCAAGGCATGCCAAGGCGCTGGAGGACTTCAAGGCGATCGATGCTTGCGCGCTCACTGAGGAGGACAAGAAGATGTCTCCGTTCGTAGAGGAAGATGACATCCCAGTCGTAAATGTGACTCAGAGCGCACAAGATCCTGCGAGGGGCGAGCAGTTCGGCTCAAACGAGGACATACTCAACGCTGCTGCCTCGAAGACCATCTAATCTCTTCCTATTTTTCCTTTACTCTTCGAACTTAACTGCCCTTGCATGGGTTTCTTTTTGTAATTCTAATTCCGAGCCCTTGGTGGGTTCTGACTCTATTTGCCTCTTGGGGCTTTTTATTTTATGCGTTCGTTTTTCCTTCCTTCCTTGTCTTTAAAAGTTAGAAAAATCTTTCGAGTAGTAGATCGGCATCTAACCTTCGATTTAACTTTATGTCGTCGTTAAGATTTGCGATTAACGCTTAAGTATTAGATCGGTATATAGTAGATATTCGAACGTGATTATTATCTTTTGATAGCGAATTGCGATAATTCGGCTTACGTTTTGCGAGTGTTGTGAACTCGGCTTACGGTGCAAATCTGAGGAGTCCGGCTTATCGTGCGAGCGTATGAGCTCGGCCTGGGGAACCCAAGTGAATCGTTTCGTACTGGAAGAGTGAATTAGATTCGAACTCTTGTAAACGCACGAAACGAATTCAAGGTTTTTCTAAGTCGAACCTAAGTATGCGAGATGTGCTCGGCTTATTGTTCTTGGTGACTTAGAAATTTAACTGCGGGACTGGGCCCGGCTTTTGATATGTGGCTTAACCACGACACCATGTGGGTGCTCGCGAGATGGATCTCGGCTTTTAAGTTTGCATTCATGTGGAATGCTATCGAACAACTGGCCAGGAAGTCGATGTAAAGACAAGGAGTTCGGTCCCTTGTGATTTCGAACTAACACTTAGTCATATCTTGACAATAAAATTTTATTGATGTTATAGCTGGACTCGGTAACGAGCTGCCTACGTACCCTTTAAAGGGATCAAGCCATTCGTAGTTCTAAGTACAAAAGGGGTTTTTGCTCCGACTAAGTAGTTCGGAGGCTTTTTTTTTTTTTTTTTGGCGCTTCGAAGCGAACTAGTAGTAGTATCGTTTGAGATGCATCGAGTTCCAAGATCGCGGGATCGGAGTTCCGTCTAACTTCATGAGTTGATAAACGCCGGGCTTAACGACCTTCATAATCTGATATGGTCCTTCCCAGTTCGCGCCAAGTTTTCCTGCGTTCTTCTCTTTGGTGTTTTGATAGACTTTACGAAGTACGAGGTCGCCGTCTTCGAAGTGACGGCCCTTAACTTTTTTATTGTAGTAACGAGCTGCAAGTTGTTGGTAATTCTGTATCCGGAGTAGTGCTCGTTCGCGATGTTCTTCGACTAAGTCAAGTGCGTCGATCATTATATTGTCATTCGCCTCGGGTTGCTGGGTAAGCATAGTTCGGCAAATGCTTGGGACGTTAAGTTCGGCTGGACACATAGCTTCTGCGCCATACGCAAGGAAGAAGGGTGACTGACCGGTTGAACGTCGCGGTGTCGTTCGGTGAGACCACAGGACGCCGTCGAGTTCATCTGCCCACGTTCCCTTAGCGATATCGAGTCGTTTCTTCAGTCCGTCAATGATGGTCTTGTTCGTGGCTTCGGCTTGTCCGTTGCCTTGCGGATAACGCGGGGTTGAGAAACTTAGTCAGATTTTCCACTTGGCGCAAAAATCTTGGAAAATTATCGAAGTGAACTGGGTTCCATTGTCCGTAACGATCTCGTACGGAACTCCGTGTCGACAGATGATGAACTTCCAGACGAACTTCTTGACGTCGATTCCATGGATCTTGGGGTATGCTTCGGCTTCAACCCATTTGGTGAAGTAATCTGTGACGACGAGGACGTACTGCTTCTGGGTCGTAGATCGGCGAAACGGACCGATGATGTCCATTGCCCAGCGCATGAAAGGATATGGTGCAGTCGAGGTCATCAGGAGCTCGGTAGGAAGATTTATCATCGGACCATGACGTTGGCACTTCTCGCAACGTGCCGTGTACTTCTCGCAATCAGAGAGCATAGTAGGCCAGTAATAGCCGGCTTTCTTGATCTTAAATGCCAAGGACCGAGCTCCGGAATGATTTCCTCCTTCTCCTTCGTGAATCTTTTGCATTACTTCCGCGATGTCATTGCCGTGAACACAAGTCAAAAGTACACCAGAAGCGTCCCATCTGAGAAGAGTACCTTTGATGACCACATACCGGGCTGCGCGAGCCTTAAAGCGCCGAGCTGCCCATTTATCTGCGGGAACCGTTCCATCTCCGATGTATTCCACGATTTCTAAGGTCCAATCCTCGGGTTTGTCTTCTACCGACCAAGCGAAGGTTGAGGTATGCTGTTTCAGGAAACGAATGAGTGGTTCACGGATGACTGGGTCGAGCTCGGCAGCAATTCCAACTTGACGCTCTGGCCTGAGTTCGTCAATGCTAACTTGAACGATTGATTCCTGCTTAGGCTTTGTCTTTTGGACGATGAGCTTGTCAGTTGGTCCGAACGAACTAATGACGCAAGCTTGGTTGGCCGAGTGGAGTCTGCACTCATTTATGTAGCACGATCGAGCAACGGCTTGGTCTCCTCGGAGTGTGTACACACCGTCGGGGGTCGAGAACTTCAAGCATTGATGGTACGTCGAAGCGACCGCTTTCATTGCGTGCAGCCATGGCGTACCGAGAATAGCGTTGTAGATCGCCGGTTTGTCGAGGATAAGGAACTGGATCATCTTTGCGATTCCGCCGACGTAGATTGGGATTTTGACAGTGCCGATCGTCATACAACGCTCTCCATCAAATCCGGTAAGTGGCTCGATGAACGGATCAATCCTATCTGACGCCAACTCGAGCTGGTCAAGTGCTTCCTTGAAGATAACGTTGACCGAACTGCCAGTATCGATCAGAATGCGGTTAACTTCGACGTCGTCGAGGAGTAGATCGACAACGAGAGCGTCATTATGCGGCTTGTGAATTCCGATTGTGTCAGCCTCGGTAAAGACCAAGGGCGCTCCCTTCGGAGGATCCTGTGGGGTTTTTGGTGTGCTAGCGGCTTGTTTGCTGTATTCTTTGATGGCTCGAACGGAATAACTGCAAGCTTCGATGGCCCCCATTATCATGTTGACACGTTTTCGCGCTTTAGGAGCACGATTCTCCGGAGCTCGGTCATCGCGATTCCGTTTCTGTTGCTCGGGCAAAGCAGGCGGATTCGGTGGCGGTGGTGGTAGTGTCGGTAAAGCCGGTGGAGTTGGTGGATCTTTGGCAAGTGCTTTCTCGAGATGTTCGTTCTTCGGTCGGGGCATCGAGAGTTGCCCACCGCTCTTAGGCGTATTTGAGCGTCGGAGTTCGTCGACCGAGATCGGCTCCTTGCGATACAGGCCGAGTAGATATTCTCGCAAATGCCTGCATTCTTCGGTGCTGTGGCCCCTACGGTTATGGAATTCGCAGAATAACGACTCGTCTTGGTCTTCTTCACCGCGGACCCATTTATTATCCCACTGCTTGCTTGGTTGTTGGATTGCGTTAGCATAGAGTTTCTTGCGGTTCTCGTATCCTCGATCGTATCCCGACTGCGGCTCGTTAGTCGCAGGTTTCAGACGTTCGGGTTGTTTTGTTGAGTGACTTTGCTCGTACGCAGCTTCTTCTTCTTCTTCAGCAATGTAAGTAATAGCTCGGTGTAATGCATCTTCTAACGTCTGCGGTGGGTTGTGTGTGATTGCGCTTCGGAAACTGGTCTTTATCCGAGCTCCTTTCTGAAGGCATAAGAGAGCGGCTTCGTCGCTAATCGTGCAGTTGGCGACGATTTCCTTGAAGCGCTGGATGAAGTCGCGAAGGCTCTCGCTTGGTCCTTGAGCTATTTGCCAGAGCTCGGAGTTCTTGGTATTCTGTCCAATGAACATGGAGAAGTGCTTGACGAAGGCTGTCGTTAACTCTTTGTAGCTGTCGATTGAATTGGCTTCGAGCCGTGAGAACCAGTCGAGAGCTACTCCTCCCAGACTTTCCACAAATAGTTGGCATTGAACTGCGTCTCTTTCTTCGGCAGACTTAAACTGGTATCGGTTCATGCATATGCCGAACGATGTCAGGAAGTGTCGAGGGTCAGAGTTGCCCTCGTAGATTTTCATCTTCAGTTTCTCCATGTGCTTGACCGGCGTCCCTGCGATGCGCGATGTGAAAGGAGTCTTCTGTGTTTCCTGAATGACGCGCTCGATCTCCGGAGCCGCGCTTGTGGCTTGATGTATTTTTGAGGTGATATCGCGAAGCTGTGCTTTTATCGCTTCAAACTCGGCGTCTCGGCTTAAATCCGGTGCTGGTGGGTTTGCTGACCCGACCGCGGCAGACCTCATAGTTCCGGTTGGAGCTCCGTCGGCATTGAGGTCGTCAATGATGTTCCGAACTCGGAGAGGAGTTCGTGTCTGACTGAGTTCGGCGATCTGTGCCGCCATCTGACTGAAACGTTCCTCGCTCCTTTTGTTGATGGCTTCGAACTGAGCAGTGAACATTTGGAGTAACAGGTCGGTTACGGCTGCGGGAGTTTGCTCGGCAGCAGTTCCGGTGTTTTCTCCAGGAGTTCCTCCCGTTTGTCCTGTTTGGGCGTTGATGTTATTTTCCCTGAGAGGGTTTTCTTCTTCGTGAACGTCAGATTGGTCTGCCATCGCTGATTCAATCTTTCCGAAGTCCGATCAAAAATCTGAGATATCTGTTTAAGCCCCCTACCTGGCGCGCCAATTGTTGATATGTGAATATCGACAAGGGACAAACAGTAATTTAGATCGGAAGCTCGGTTTTATTAGATTGAATCAAGTGAAATACAACTGAGTTCGGTTATTTCAATAGGCAATAACGAACTAAGACTTAATGCGACTAAGAAGCTGTGGTAACAAGTTCTCAGTCTTTAAGTCTTCTTGGGAATAACTTGTGTTTTTTGATGTCGATTCGTCTCCCTTTATATATATCTCATAAGTCGGTCTTCAAGCACGCCTTAGACGATATGGGACCGAGAAGAGTTTCCTTTTCTCTCGGTTCCTTTCCTTTTCTCTCCGAAGTTTCCTTTTTCCTTCAGGAAACTTTCCTGTTTTGGCCGAGCTCAAGGAAACCTTCTATTCCTTTGAGAGGTTTCCCACCGACCTCGGTCTAATGGGCTATCTTCGGCCCATCTTCGCTCGGCCCATCTTCTCTCGGTACATCCCTTCGTAAACCGGGCTTACGGTTCGCCGATCTCAGTTTGTACTGGAGAAAACCGGGGTGCGGTTTTCACCTCCAACACCATATGTCATCAAAGACAATTAATGATTTAGATGTCTCCAATAATCGAAAAAGCTCTTCCTGGAGTGTAGCTTCTGTCATCTGTTGGATTCCATCTTTCTTTTCTCTCTGTGTGAGATTCTGCAAGATCGTTTGCCACACATTCTTCCGCGTAAAAACCTGTGAGACACACACCCATGCGAGTCTATCAAACTTGTTTTTGACCATCTCATGATTAAAAGCTTGTCTAGCAAGGGTTGTTTTCCCAAGACCACCCATCCCGGTTATGGAAACAATTTGAACATCATTTTCCTCCACCAAATAGCCGACAACCTTATCAACATTTGCTACTAGCCCCACAAGATTGCTTTGATACTCCCTAGCAAATTCTTGTCGCATGTCCTTTAGTGTTCCTTGTAGAGGTTGTGATTCCCTGCCATCGGCAATAATCTGTTGTACTCCAAATCTTTGCATATCACATATTATTTCGAAGATCTTTTTACTTATGCCTCCCATATCTGAAGCAAATTTCCTGCGTTTTGGAATAATGCAAGCAAGTCTTCTGATACGATTCTTGATGCCAATTGTCTTTCCGAGTTTATCCTTTTGAAGAAAGGTTTCAACTATGTCCTCTGCATCATAAATAATTTCTTTGATCTCTTCAACACAATTTCTCACCATTGCACTTGTATGTCTCTTGGCATCTGCATCTTTCAAAAAAGATTTTAATAGGTTCAGTTTACTTTTTAGTCTAGTTACTTGATCATCAACTCCGTGAATTTGCTCGTATTCTTGGCTCAGTAGGTCCCAAAGCTTTTGTACTCCAAACGACACAAGTGTCTCAGTCATATTGGTTTCTGCTTAAGTAGTATGTAAATAAGAATCAAGCTCCATTATATTGATAAAAAAAAAAAAACAGATAATGGAATTTCATATTGTAAAAAATTGGTGATGAGGAATTTTACATAACACACAAATCGTTATTGGATGGATATGTTGTTCTTCTACTGGTTCTTGGGACCAAATTAATATTATGTGCTGTTGTGGTTTCGGATCTGAAGAGATTATAGACTTCGGTCCAAAATTTCCTGGTAATCCAAAAAAAAAAAAATTTAAATGATGAAATTCACATTAAAACAAATATATAGTAAATTCTTTTTTACCAAAAAAAAAGAAAATTAATTATATAGCAATTGTTGACAAAGAAAAAAAAACGAATCAAATATATCTTGTCATTAGCATTTTCATTACTACATATTTACATTTGCAAAAAAATGAAAAAAAAAAAACATTTGTCATTTTCTATATGTTTTACATCACTGTGTAACATACTTGACTTTTTCATATATCAATATAAAAAAAAAATTTTGTTTGGTATTACTTTTAGGTTTTTCTTATTGGCATTGGGAATTGTTTTTTACAACTATTAGAAAATCACAAACTTATATCAATAAAATAAAAAAAAACTGTATTATATGGTTTGGGATTACTTCCTTTAACAAAAAGAAATGGTTTGGGATTACTTCAGTTTTTCTAGTCAATTTCGGTGATGAATTCATTTTATACGTTGAGAATATCTGTTAATTCATATGTTTTTCTCCTATCAATTTTGATGTTTAATATATATATGTATATATATATATATATATAACTAAAACATTTATATAATAAAATTAGTTGTACAATTAAAAAACTAAAATCATTTTAAAATAAAATGTTTACTCAAATTTAGTTTTAAATTAATAAGTGAGATTTTGCAAATTTGGAGGGAAATGTGGTTTTGTATTTTGGCGAGGAAACATACACAGTGGCGAAGCCATGTTGGATAAGATGGGGGCAGCTGCCCCTTATAAAAATAAGTAGTGTAATTTTTTAAGTAAATAATTATTTCCCCATATCAAATGATATATTTGCCCCCATTTATTTTTTTGGTCAGTTACTATATTTGATCAAATTTTTCCTATATAATTAAAATATATGCATTCAATTTTGATGGCTAAATAGATTTACTTTTTTTTTTAAGATCACTTATATAATTCATGAATTATAGATGTTTAGTCAATAAATATATACACAAATCACATGTAATCTATACTAACACATTTTCTTCCTTACACTTTTATTCTAATCTTATAAAATTTTAGTTTTAGGTTTTTCTAACAAATTGGCACGGTAAAACTTATGAAATTATGTTTTATGCAAAACTAATTATTTTGGTAAACAGTAAACTACACTACAAAAATAATTGAAATGCTTTGAAACTATTCTGACTCGTTTAATAAATGTGGTAACTAAGTAATCAAAATATACTAAATAAAAACTAAATTTTCTGTTTTTTTTTTATAATTTTTGTAGACTTTTTCTGTTAAATTTAAGGTTAAAAATATATAATGTATATATACTTATCAATGTTTTAAGATGTATAATGCTTTTTAAATTTGATAATATTTTAATTTAACTATTTTTCCCCCAATTAAATTATTTCTGTCTCCGTCACTTATCACACACTTTCAAAACTTTTTGTACGAAAACATGATTTTGTGGGTTTGGTAGGAAAATACAGTTTTATGTTTTTGACCTTAAAATATATTTGTGGTTTGGCAGGAAAATTTAGTTTTGTATTTTTGGTAGAAAAATCTAATTTCATGGTTTTAACGGAAAACAATGTTTTATGATTTTGGTGAAAAAATAAAATTTTACAGTTTTGGCGGGAAAATATAATTTTGTAATTTTTGTAAAAAAACATAAAAAAATTTCAAGTTTTAATTGAAAAACATAGTTTTGCAGTTTGGAGGAAAACACAGTTTTATGGAAAAATGTGGTTTTTCAATTTTAGCAGAAAAGTATGATTTTGTGGTTTGGCGAGAAATGCAATTTTGAGATTTTGGGAAAAAATTACAGACTTTTTTGTTTTGGCGTGATCAATAATTTTATACTTTTGAAGAGTAAATGCGATTTTGAATATATATTTTTGTTGAAAATTCATTTAGACAGAAACATGATTTTACGATTTGGTAAGAAAATATGGTTTTTCAGTTTTGATGAAAGATACAATTTGGCAGTTTCAGGTGAAATAAGCGATTTTGCGTTTTGGCAAAAATGTGATAAATTTGGCAGTTTTAGGTGAAATAAGCGATTTTGCGCTCGTGGCAAAAATATGATTTCGCAATTTTGACCAAATATGTGTAATTGGCAAATGTGATTTTATTTTACACATAATAATATGATTTTACGGTTTTGGAGGAAAACATAATTTATAAAAATTAATATATTATTCAACAAAAATAATCAACACAAAACCATGAAAAAAAAAATATATATATATATATATGTATTGTATCAACATAAAAACAGTCTGGAAATGTAATTGGTAATACCGAATTTACAATATTTAATAAAATTAGTTGATTACCCACATTGTGTACGAAGTGAAAGTCGATCCTAATAAATTTTTAGTGTAAATTTTATGTATATAAATATAATTATAGTAACTTTAGCTCATACTGTATTTCCAACTTGAAAACTATGTGATGATTACATAATTACAAATAATAGTCTCATTTGAGTTATGTCACAATTGCAAATATACAGACTGATTATAGAAATATATAATCGACTTTATTTTTGATCAAGTTAATTGTTTTATAATATATTTATCTTTTGGTCAAATTATTTGTAATATTTTAAATTTTAATTTATATACTTTTAACATTTTATCAATTTTAAATATTTTAAATATTTACCTTTTTGGTTTAATTATACAACTTAATAAACCAATATTTTTCAAAAGTTTGGTGAGTTTCCTACTCCTATGGTTATTTATTTTTTGGTCCTTTTTACAATAGGTTTCTGATGGGGGACTCTCAAGACATGTATTTCTTTATCATTTGAGTCATTTATGTTTGTTTTTGAAAATTTGAATTTTAATGTGTGTGAAAAATATAGATTTTGTTGTTACAGGGATAATGTGACGATTTAGTTTTTTTTCAGAAATAAGATCAAACAGATATGAGAGAAAAATAGATTGTTTGAAGATATATTTACTATGATATACTAATACTTTCAATAAATATTTTGGTAGCAAATGGAAAGATATAAGATTATAGATTAAATGCTGAATATGAAATAACTAATTGGTATAAACTATTTTCTAACCAAATTAATATGAATGACATAAGTTGTAAATAGTCAATTTCTTTATGATTATATTAGTATTAGTCTTAAAAGATCTCTTATGATAACATATCGACATGAAAATATTGTAAATCACATGTCAAGGCAAGACTTATTTTTAACAATCATTCTCAATTAATATATAAGAGATTTAACAGAAATAATTTAAACGATTGATTGTATTTAAGGTTATTTTGGTCTTTTTGTTATTTTGTTCTTGACCCAAACTCTCCAATCTAAACTCAACATCTTAATATAATTTTAATGTGATCAAACGATGAAGATTTGAGCATTTGCATGTAGTGTCTGAACATGCTCGAGGTATGTCAAGAGAGACCGAATCTATATATGTAGCAATGATCGAAGATAAGGACAAAATTTTATCGTCAGTATACAAAGAAATTTGCTAATGAATAACATCAAAAGAAAAATAACTAACCTCTTGATGGTACCAAGAAAGCCTCCCCTCGTCTCTCTTTGGGAACAAGAGGGATTCTTGCTCCTTATTTATAAGGAAGAAGAGAAATATCATATTATTTTGGATTCCTTTCTCTTCTCGTCCGCTACTGAATTGCTTTCTCCCTTTTGTCCGATGGTAGGAATATCTTTATTGCAGCCGTAACTCCTTTCTTCTTAGAAACAACTTCTTGAATTCCTTGTAAAAGCCTCGTTATGATTATTATACATTTATACTTACCATTAATTTAACAATTTTTTTTATTTGGGACAAAAATTTACATACTGTCAATAAAGCAATTTACTCACAAACATAGTTACCGACGCACCAAGGTATATGTACTATATGATGTAGCGATATCTGTACGTTACTTTCTTGTTATGGACTTTTTCTTATATGATCATGTCATAGTGCCTTTGTTATGTATTTTAGATTGTCGCTTAATTAGGAAAATATTGTATCTCCAAATTTCAGACAATAAGGGGTTTATAAGTAGTTTGTCCTTGTTTCGTTAAGACTTAAGCGGTGGCTTTTGATTGAAAGAAAAAAGGGAATAGATCATTTCTTCTCGTCTTCATTTTTTTTTTTAAGAATACGACACGCGCACAAGATAAATATTTTAGACAAGTAATACAATTAGCATCGCTTAATTAGGAGAATCCGAAGTTTTCAAGAAGAAAAAATTGCAAAAATTTAACACTTTATTTAAGTTTAATTAATTTATCAAACATTTAAGTTTTTTTTTACGATTATTTTTGTCGGTCAAATGACTAATATAGTTTTTTTATTTTTTTACATAAGCCAATAAAAAAACTGACGAATTCAGAGAGTTAAAAATATAAAATAACACTAAAAATTTGCATAGAAACTTGTAAAATGTTTTTATAAATGAAATAAAAGTTTTTGTTAAAACATCTTATATTTTTAAGATGGAGGGAATAATAACTTATTTAACTGGATTTGTTGATCAATTGCCTTGAGAATGGTTTGCCTGTGATTCTGTGAAGGCATATAATATGAGCAGTACGTTTAAAGCGCCAAACAAGGCTTATCTTGTGTAATATTTCAAATATTTAAATCAAAAACAAATTCTGTTTATAAGAATAACTCTTTTATTATGTTTTAGAAAAAATTTCAAAATTAAACACTAAAGTATGTATCTCTCATTGATGCAACTTCATCAATGACTTACATAGATATAGTGTCTTGTACAACTTAGCAAATGCACTTTTCCTTTTTCTATTAAAACTAGATAACTCCTAATCTAATAAAAAGATATTCCAAAACCCTATTTAATTAACTTAACCGACTTGTTAAGCAATGTGGGCCTTGGTTTAATTTTGATGCTTACTCAACAATCTTCCTCTTAAGCTTCAACTTGATCTTGGACATGTCTTAGAATCCTATTAATCTTCTCATTTCGTTGAACTTGATCTTTGCCAGGGCTTTAGTAAGAATGTCAGCCTTCTGCTCAACACCCGGCACATGCTCAACATCAACTAACTCCTTCTCAATGCACTCTCGTATAAAAATGGTAACATTTATGAATATGTTTGCTCTTACCATGAGATACGGATCTTGGTGAGTGCCATTTCTGACTTGTTCTCGACCTTGATGACAATATGCTCGGTATTCCACCATGTGATCTCGCTCAAAAGATCTTGAAGTCAAATAGCTTGTTTAATCGTCTCTATTGCTGCCATGAACTCAGCTTCGCATAAAGACAGAGCCACTGTGTCCTGTTTCTGCAAACACCAAGTGATTGGTGAGGACCCAAAGTAGAATATATGTCCGGTGGTGCTTTTTCCATCATCCGGATCCACATTGTGACTGCTGTCACTAAAACCAACGATCTTCTTTGTTTCTCCATGACAAACCTTCAAGCCAAACATGACTGTCCCTTTAAGATACCGTAAAATGTGCTTCATTATGTTACCATGTGACTTGCGAGGACTCTGCATATATCTGCTAGCAACTCCAACAGAAAACGCTAAGTCTGGCCGTGTATGCAACAAGTACCTTAAGCACCCTACATTCCTTCTAAAACACGTAGGATCGATCTCTTCTTCTTCTTGAGCCTTTGAAACCTTTAATCCGAATTCCATGGGAATTAGAGTAGGATTACAGGTCTCTAAGCCCGCCTCTGCTAGGATCCTTCATGCATAGCCTTCTTGCTTGATTTTGATTCCATCCTTCCATTGATGAACTTCGATACCAAGGTAATAAGTCAGTTTTCCAAGGTCTGACATGTCGAACTTGGTTGCCATTCCTGTCTTAAACTCACTTATGACCTTGAGAGTATTGCATGTGATAAACAAATCATCCACATATATAGCAAAAATCAGTAATGATCCTCCCTCTTCTCTGCGATACACTGAGCTTTCCTTGGAGCATCTTATGAACTTCATTCCTTTCAGGATTTGATCTAACTTTGTGTTCTATGCTCGAGGAGCTTGCCTTAGACCGTATAAAGCTTTTGAAAGCTTGTATACCTTCTGTTCTTGCCCTTTTATCTCAAATCCTTCAGACTGTTCAACATAGACGTTTTCTTTTAATTCTCCATGTAAGAATGCTGTCTTCACATCTAAGTGATGAATCTCCCATCCATATGATGCTGCCAATGCTATCAACAGTCTTATGGTTTCTAATTGTGCAACAGGTGCAAATACCTCATCAAAATCGATGCCTGATTCTTGTACATATCCTTTAGCCACAAGTCTCGCCTTGTACTTGTTGATAGTACCATCTGCATTCTTCTTGATCTTGAAAACCCACTTGAGACCAATGATCTTTGCCTCCCTTGGTTTGTCAATTAAAAACTATGTCTTGTTTTTGTTGATAGACTCTATCTCCTCTCTACATGCTTGCCTCCACTTTAATGATCCTTTCGCATCCTTAAAGTTCCTTGGCTCATCATCTATTGAGAGTAGCAGTCTCTCACACTCAATTGCTGCTTGCAAGACAAAGTCGTCGAGATACCCTGGCTTGCGTATCGGACGAGTTGATCTTTGAAACGGCTACTCTGTATCAGCTTCATTAGGTAGATCTTCTTCTGCATTATGATCAGCTTCAGGTTCGTTAGTGTCGCTTGACACTGCTGATGGTGTCGCTCGACACCCTTTGGTATCATTAGTGTCGCTCGACACCGCTGATGGTGTCGCTTGACACCCTTCGTTTCCTTCGCCTTCATGATCATAACCGATTACTGCAGGTCCTTCTCCTGCATCAATAACTTCACCCTACCTTGTCTGAAACATCCCTGGATCCCTTCCTGATCCATCCCTTGGTTTGTTCCAGTTCCAGCTTACCTTTTCATCAAAAACCATATCACGGCTCACTACAATTCTCCTTGTCTTTGGATTATATAGTCTGTACGCCTTGGATCCTGGCTCAATCCCAAGGTTTACGAGTATCTGCGACCTATCATCCAACTTCTTGAGATTTACAGCTTCCACCTTTGAGTATGCGAGACATCCAAAAACTCGTAGATGCCCTAGACTTGGTTTCTTCTCTCGCAAGCATTCATAAGAGTCATGTTCTTAAGAGCAATCTTGTAGGTACTCTACTGATTGTGTATGTGGCGTGTCAAACTGCTTCTCCCCACAAGTAATTAGGTACCTTAACAGCCTTAAGACTGCTCCTAGTCATCTCCATTAGGGTTCGGTTTCTTCTCTTTACCACACCGTTTTGTTGTGGTGTGTAGGGAGCTGTTAGATGCCTCTTGATCCCCTTTGATTCGCAAAACTCATAGAATTCCCTTGAGGTAAACTCTCCTCCTCTGTCAGTTCTAAGAGTCAATACTGCTTTTCCAAGCTCCTTTTCAACTAGCTCCTTGAACGCCTTGTATCTTTCAAACGCCTCACTTTTCTCCTTTAACAAGATAGACCACATGTATCTCGTAAAGTCATCTATGATAACAAATATGTATTTGTTACCAGCAATGGTTGGTGGTGTGATCGGCCTACACAAGTCTGCGTGAAGAAGTTCCAGTAGTCTTGAAGCTCGGAACATTGTTGCCTTTGGAAAGCCTTGTCGAGTCTGTTTTCCGACTAAACACGACTCACACAATCCATTTTCTTCTCGAATCTCTGGTAGATCATAAATCATCTCCTGTTGTGACATAGCTTTCATTGTCTTAAAGTTTTATATGTCCCAACCTTGCATGCCATCTCCAAGTCTCATCCTCTATACTCGTGTTTAGACATATCGGTTTTTCAATCTTCAGGTTGACTTTATAAAGTCTATTGGGCGACTGTATGACCTTCACCAAGAGTCTTCCACTTAGATCATGGAGAGTCAAGTAATCATGCCTCATTCTGACGTCACATCCAGCTTCAGTGGCTTGCCCTAGACTCAGAATGTTGCTCTTCAGTTCGGGTATATAGTAGATATCTGATACGAGTTTCTGCTCATCTGTTTTGATTTGAAACAGAATCGATCCTTTTCCAGCTGTTCCCACACAAGAGCCATCTCCAAACTTCACTTTGCCCCTTATGTTTTCGTTGAGCTCAGAGAAGAATGCTTTGTTTCCTGTCACGTGATTACTTGCTCCATTATCTAGATACCAAAGTCCTTCTTCACCTCCTTTGTTTTCATAGTTCTTTGGTATTAGATTCTCTTCATTCAAAAACACCATCTCATGCATATAAAGTGCTTCATCAGCTTCTTCTGTCTCCACTTTATTTGCCTCTTGTGTCTCTTGTGGTCGTTCAGGACAGACAGATGCAAAGTGTCCAGATTTATCACATTGATAACAAATCACCTTGGACTGATCCTTCTTCTCCTTTGGTTGGTTCTGATTTGTTGATCGATCTTGTGAGTTAGACCCTCCTCTGCCTCGTCATCTGTTTCCTCTGCCTCCTCTACCACGTCCTCTCCTTCCGAAACTGGAACCACTTTACTCCGAGTTTACATATAGCAGCTTCCCTTGTGTATCTCCTTGATTCTCCTCGTTGAGAATCCTCTCCTCATACGCCTTAGGCCTTTCTATTATATCTTCGTGGCTCGTC